GCTCGCCTCACCAACGAGAGCTTGAGATGTCGCGCCGTTTGCTCGTTCATAAAGATGGACCTGCGTATGGCCGACTCAGCATTGAAGGTGAGACTTCGCTCTTGACTCTCTCTCCCTCTTCCTCCCAACCTATACTCCCCCAAAAACACCAGCTCTTTCCTGCCCTCAAAACTAGTTTACATGTTTCGTCTGTTTCAACCTGTGCTCAGAGGACGTCGGCATTGATATACACTGAGAAGCCACAACTGCCCCGGAGGAGCCACACCCAGCCCTGGGAGGATGTGTTGCCTCAACGGGAGAGGACTGCAGAAAAGTAGGAGTGGCAAGAAGGCACAATTGATGTAAGTGTAAATCACCAGTTCTGATCATCTGCCACTGTGACAACCTTTGAAAATAACCGGCCATCTCATAGCATGTACAGCGTCTAGAGAGGGAGTGGATGGCAAAACTGGAGAAGAAAAGAGAAACAAAACAAAACAAAACAAAAATAAAACCAATTAAGACACCTGCAAGTCTTGAAACCGAGACCAACGTTGGCAAATTATCTGGGAAGGTGTGCCCATCTAACTCTGCTTTAACAATGTCCTTCACGCTACACTGGTCACCATCCAAATTATGGTGACGGAACTCAGGGTTGCAGACTCCGAGGCTATACATTGAAAAATGGAGTAAAGAATTTTTTTCCTTTTTCTTCTTTCTTTTTTTTCCCTCTGGAAACAAAAATGGTGCTATCCCCCCATTGGAGGACGGGCTGTGTCACTAGCTTTATAAAAAAGGGTCTTCTGGACATAATAGAGCATGTAGGCTTGCGAGGCTCGGACATAGTCTTCAGTTACGCGAGTAATCCAAGCATCATCGCATTTGTACCAACACTTGTTGAGACGCAGAAACGATACGTAGTGTCCCGAGTCTAGCTTACCGGAATGAGTGACTACAGCAAAAAGCTCAAACTCCGACGGGCTTTGTGAGGGTGGAAGATTACTTGCATCACCACTAACACTCAAGAGCCTATTGCCATGCCTCAATCTTACAATAGAAGATGACATATACGGTAACAAATCAAGAAATAAAGGAAACTGCACATAGCGATCAAGCTTCTTGGGCTGGTTACGAGTGAAATCAAAGCGCTTTATGTGAAAGCACAGAACTAGTGGGACTTTCCGAATAGACATTTGCTTGATAGATTCCTGTCGAGTTTGACATCTCTCGCAGAAAGACTTTTCGTTTGCTCCCAAGCGTTCAGGTCTGGTAAAACGGTCTAAACAACCCAGCAATGAGGAAGCCCCCGAAGCACTTGAAGCTGCTCTAGACGTCCGGCCACCATGTTCAGCATGTATTATTGATTCTGAGAAGCCTTTCTCTGTTCCAAAGTCGGGCTCAAGGTCTAACGAAATATCAACACAGGGGTCATATGTAGTGGAGGTTAAATCACATACAGTGCATGTTACATCGGACCGAAGAAGTCCTGAGAAAACACGGTGAACTTTGCAATGGCAATTATCATCTCCGGACCTGTCAAACCACATATTATCAGAATCTGGTCATAACGAGAGAAAGCCACAATCGGTATGCAAAATGTGACAGGAAACGGTCGTCATTTAACGTTTGCGGGTCATGATACAATAACATCTTCAAAGAACACAATAAAAGAAGCTGAGGGACAAAAGCATACCTCGTCGTCTTGCACGAGGAGGTTGTGCCTCCTTCATCATGTATGCCAGAGACTAAGGAAATAAAAAATTCGTGTGCATCTTGCTGCTCGTACCCTGCCAGGTTTGAAGCATATCGCCACCAGCTGCATTCACATCAAAAGGTTGAACGTTATCTCATTCATCCATTTATCAAGTTGAACACACGAGATGGTAACCTCGATCCATAAACTTTTATGTATGATGGATTTGGATTCTTTCTGATCGGATGCAAAAAAGTAAAAAAAATTTACCCCACTACGCTGAAGTGAAATCTTACCAGCTAAAAAAACCCTTACATAAACACATGCGATTTAGCGAACCCAGCTCAATACAAGATCAGAGTTCAAATTCATGTGTGGAAAAAATTATTGCATGTTGAGAAATCAATTCACGATTAAAGAGGAAATATAAAAGTAAAGATAGAAAAAAAGAGGGGAAACGTGAGATAGGCTTGACGGCACCCAGACGATAACACACATGAGAGTAAGTCCGTCTGGATTCTAAGTACCAAGTGAATTCATCTACTTTACACGACAAAAATAATTAATTAGTCTAATTTTTAAAAATTAAATGTATAAAACAGAGAGGGACAAAACACGCTGTTGGAACATAGAATAACAAAAACCTCCCAACTAATAGCTGTACCAAGATTATAACGAACAGAGTATGATGGGATTTGATTACTCGTTGCTGCTTAGTCACATGGTGATACCTCACATAGATAGTGGCTGCTAATGGCAATGCTAGAGAGAGAAGAAAACCAAAAACTCTTCTAATGCAGTAGGATCAATCCATGTATAGTCGAAATTAACAGGAATAAATTAAAAAGGTCTCTGTTTCCCTCAATTCTGAAATGCAGGACTGCATAACTCGTGACGAAGAAAACATTGCATTAACATATGAAAATTCATACAACATGCGAGCGAGTTCACAGGAAAACACAATTAGTTCACCCAAAGCCGAGTAACGCAACGGTAAACTCCAGGCAATGCGAACATCACACACCTGTACAAAAAATTGGCTGGACTGTAAGGCGTCCGATCTCCTGAAAAAGCTGCAGTGAAGATGATGTCCATATCACAACCAAGGCAAAGCTGTGCATCCCCCCGCTGGCACATGGCTTGGTTGTGACGGTCACTCAAAAAATAATTTCGCAATGGTGGTGTGTGGAGAAGTGCTTGCAGCACGGAATTCATGAAACACGTGTTTCCAAGATTATTAAGGCCTCTTAAACCAGCTGGAAGCTTCTTGCCATCATTCAAAGGCGTGGAGCTCTGTTTCAAACCCAATTGCTCCTGACCCGATGCCACCCACGGCTTATACTCGATGCTTCTCCTTCGCTTCCTCGACTCATGGCTATTCCCAACTTCCCCACCGCAAGGTGAAGACACAACCAAACCCGACACAGTACGCGACCCCGCCCCGAAATCCCCACATCCGTCTCTGCCACATCCGCTCCCCACATTCTTCTTAAGATTGTCACCCACATCACCCGCATTTCTCCGCCTCTCCTCTGTCTCCCGCCGCAGCACATCCGCCCGCGCCGCAATAATTGCTCGATCGAAATCCACATCGTATACCTGATCGCCACAGAAGCAACAAAAAAGCTCTGCACGCTCAATGTCCACAGCTATACCATGCCCGGGGTTATCCTGCGCATGCGTCCGCGCGTGCAGCGCATCCGGCGGGCTCCAGCAGCCAATAGTCCCACAAACCACGCACGCATACAACCTCCCCCGCGCCCGCGAGCAGCTACCGCACCGCGGCACCTCCTTGGCCTCCCGCTTGATGCAAGCCCTCCCCGAGGCCTCCGTCTTCACGCACCTCTGCAGCACTCGCAAACTCTCCGACCCATTCCGTGCGCGGTACTCAGCCAAATGCTCACACGGCACGAGCCTCGATGCATCGTCCCGCCGATTCTCCCGGTGCTCATGCTCACGATGCTCGAAATTCTTTGAACCCATGCCGTAACCACATCCCCGCCCCTGCTGCAGAGCCCTCCTCTTCTCCCCGAAACCCTAATCTCCCACCACCCTAACTGGATCATTCAAGGTTGTATCGATCAGCTGAACTCAATCTCCCCATGATTTCAAACCATCTCAATGTCACGTTCCCAATCCACTCACAGCTTGTTCATGCATCTTTGCAGATCCCACCGAAATGCCGATGCAACGGAAGGGGCCTCCGCCTCTCCAACTTGCCGCGATGGTCTTCCCTCACCGCGGTCCCATTGCCAGTGTGAATCCCTCCCACGGCCCGGATACCCTCTCCGTAAACATCGGTTACGTATACCCTTTAGAAAGGGTATCAATATAAGTGAGGCCCTGTGAACGATAACATGGAGAAGCTATGGGGATGGGCACCAATGAGTTACAACCTGGGACTCCTGGGTAGGGTATCTAATTACCTGAGTATCCGGAGTAAATTATTCTGGGCTTTCCATTCAGGAATTCTAAGAGTATGTTCCCTAAACAACAATCCTTCTATTAATGGCGTTTTTAGTACAGATAATGTACCTGAATTTTATATTTATTTGTTAAAATTTTCATCATAATATGTATATGTGTGTTTGTATATAAAACTTTAGACATTACATGAAGGAGATTGATGTGAAAGCATCAATATTGATTGGTTTACAAAATGGTTATTAACAAATGACTAGAACCTTCAACTAACAAAGAGAACGAGGAATTAAATAAATAACCAATCAGTTACACAAGCAGTGCAATTGAAAACATGGAGAATGTTGTTTACTCAATGGATTTATTTTTTATTTTTTATTTTTTTGCAATTGTAGTAATAATAATCACTGTTAAAAAAACTGTGATTTTACAATTACCCACTCTCAGTTATTTAACAAAATTTATTTTTTCTATTGTTCATTGATAGATTCTAAAAGCAATTATTTTTTCCTTAAGAGCTTCCATTCAAAAATCTAAGCAATGAGCCACCAAAACAATCAACCATAAGTTAATATTTTTGAAAGAGAGATTGTAAATGAAGAAGAGATTGAGACTGTTAATTGAGTGAAACATTGTTACGAAATTCTTGAACATGTTTACACATTATAAATTTGGAATAAGAAGATAATAAAATTTTCAAAAACAAGAAATAAAATGATTGGCAATACATGTCTAACTTAAATAGTTCTTTAGTGGAATGTCTAATTGTAGGATACATTGGAAAATGCAAATTCTTACATCAACTTAGATCATGGGTTGCTCACCCTAATTAGAACACATTTTGAACACATTCCTAGAGATATATGAAGGATTCAGTCATAGTTTGGAACAAGAGAATAAATGAGGTGGAGAATAAATGATTTGGAATGTTCTTTAAATGGTTTTGAGATTTTAGGATTTTTCAAAAATTTGAATGTAGGCTTACCTACTTTGATTTCATTAAAAAAAACAACATGGCTACAAACACATTGAATGGAATGGTGATATATGATGTCTCAAGTCTCCTTTTCACCATGCAATCTTACTAATAGACATTTGAGTATTTTTACAATGTTCTAGACAAAGTTTCTCTCCACCTCATTTATTCTCTTGTTCCAAACTACACAATAAAATCCAAACATATAAACTATGTTGTTTCAGTGTGATTAAATACTTTCTTATATCTTGTTAGATTTTATGCCTTGTATACCTTCTTTCATTTTAATATGGTCATTTCAATATCTTAATGTATTCCAGTACATTGGATTTACTAATTCACTTTTATCTTGTGTGCAAGAATTATTTTTCTCTGTTTTTTGTATTTTGTTTTTGTTTTTGAACATAAATTTACAGTTTCATAACATTTTGCACAATTTTCATGTTCTCAAGTGTCAAACAGAAACATATAAACTTGCATTACATCTTCATGGCATAGATATATTTTTAATAGAGTTGATAATTGATCAATCAAAGTGTAAACCAGCAAAAAAATAAACCTTATGTCCAACAGCTTAACTTAGTTTAATTCACTGCACATACACTTTTAACACATGACGAATTCCGAATGGTCAAACTTAATCATGTAGGTTCAGTCCTTAGATCAAGTGTTCGTTAGATTTGTGCAAATTTACTCATGACATGCTATTGTAAAATACCCAGATTGCACAAATCAAGGAATGCTGATGATCCAACAAAACAAAACTATATTTAAACAAATTGACTGCACGAATACATAAACTATTCTTAAGCAAGGCAGCAATCTAACAGCATCTCCTACATTCCTGAATTGAACTAGGAAAAACTGCCCCGGAGCAGTTAGAAATATAGTAAATTTTTGGATGTGAAGTAACAAATACAAATTTCTGGACAATTAGTTACTGTTTTGCAGAAAATGAAGCAACCATGCCTCGGTTTTCATAGATGGCAAATTACTACAAGCACGAGAGCCTGTCCAACATTTGCGAAACCTAAAGAAACGTCATTCGTGAATGATGGCATGTACCAGGAAGGACCCTTGCGAATCGTAGTCTTTACGCTACTCTGGATTATTAGAAATACTTAAAATTTGGGCCGAATGTGCACAGTTTCAAGTTGAATTGTGCCATGACATTACAAGTGACAGGGAAACGCAGAAGCAAGAGAACCACCACCTGCTAACCACAATCAAAATGAAAGCAACAACACTATTGCACTTGTCGTTCAAATACCACCCTTCACAACATCTAAAAGATGCCGATGCATAGGCGCTAAAACTACTCTAATCACCAATTCCTATGTTTACTGTGCAACTCCAACCGAAACAACACCGACAATCTGAGAGAACAATTTACTGTCATATGCTTGCTTAATTTGGCTTTGCTATCTCTGAGGAACATTTGTAAACTCAATCAGTCGCAGCTTCTTTGTCACCAAAGTTCTTGCACCACATTTGAGATGGCACAGGTCGCACAGGCATCAAGGGCCGTTGCTGCACATACCCAAAAAAAGAAAATTCACACGGAAAAATCAAGACTCAGTTTCATGATGATGAAAACACCCATTGAAACAGGAAATTCGGATTGGAAGTAAAGGTGGCACGAATCTGAATTAGATTTCGAAGTACATTCACTCTGGGATAGGTGAAACCTACATAAGATTAGAGGAAGAAACGAGTATCACTACTTTGAAGGACACTCTATGAAGAAACAATTTCACATGAATAGATGCACAGACCACGACGGACGCAAACCACATCACATCGACGCGGGATACAACCCTTATCCTCCAAGAACCACGGTGCAGCTCAAAGGTCCGTGGCATCGATTCTACGCAATCGGAGACCTAGAACGACTTCATTCCCAACTAGAATCTCACCTCCAACTGAGCAGACTTCATGGCAATCGGAATGCACACGGCGAAAATGCCAGCGAAAGCAATCACTGTGTTGCGGCGCCAAAGCTTCGGGTGACACCACCACCCTCCCGTAGGACTCCACACCTGTGTGGGGTACCCAGGGTAATGCGCGTCATGAGGAGCTCCACCCATAGCTTCAGCGAATTCGCAACCCTAATCTCAACTGATCGCAGTACTCCGTTCCAAGCAAATACGATCGTCTCACTCTCGCTGCGGCATGGAGAAAGGGTTATCACAGCTGAAGGTGCGACGCAGAGTTTCGGCAAAAGGGCTGAATCTATACCCTCCATGTCGGGTATCACGATAGGGTATACACCACTTCACACGCGGGTGCACGGTTTCGCACAGTAAAACGAAAGCCAATACGGAAAAGCTAGTTATATATACCCTGAGCTAACAACCAGGGTATAAAAGGATGGTATGTTCAGGGCAGCAATCTGTGAGATGATCCGGGTATCGATCAACCCTCATCCGAGAATGGGTGGGGGTCCATTCGTCGCTCTTCGGAGAACCTCGAAGCGTTTGTGGCGATGCCAATTGATTGCAAAGTGCATCATCTTTTCGGCCACTTCGCTCTTCTGATTGCCTCATAAGCCGATTGTTGGCTGGATTGCGTGGTTTACCATTTTGTGGCTGTGAATCCTGGTTCATGCGGCGCTCCATGAGAGCGCTCCCAGCTTCCGTGAGAGAAGTTGGAGCCATGGCCTCTGCTTCCGGCTCTCGCGTTTGTGCTAATTTGTCGCGTGAGGTGAGCGCGAGTTGGATGGTTCGTTTGTCGAAGGGTTTTAGATGGAGAGTCTTGGGGGCGGAGAGTATTTCGAATGCGTTTTTACCCAATGTAGTGTGTGGGAGAGTCTTCTCTCTCTCTCTCTTTTTTTTTTTTTTTTTTCCTCATTCCAACCCCCCCCCCCCCCTAATTCGTGTGGGTTTCGTTGCATTCGAGTTTTGCACAGTGCGTAAGCTCAGCTCCAATCGCCTCTTCTGGTGGCAGCTGCAAGAGGTCCTCGTTTCTGCCTTCTCGACGAGTTGGTGCTCTGAGGTCTGCAGCGTTGGTCTCTGGCCGCGCTAATGGACTCAGCATTTTGCGTCATCCAAGGATTGTTAGCACCTGCGATGCTGGGTTTATCAATGTCAGGAGCGAAGCAACCGTGGCTGGGAAGGCAGCTCAATTGGAGCAGGCCGAGTCGCAGGCTGAGGTATCGTGAGCCTGTGTAAAGCTGTGGACGTTTGGTGAATTTCAGAGGCAGAGAATCTTAATTTTGAGATAGATGATGACAGTTGGGAAGGTCCAAAAGCTGGAGAGACCTAATTGAACGAATCCTTCAGCGCTTTTAATGTATGTCATGAGATGAACCGATTAAATGATAGTCCCTTCTCCTTGCCATTGCAGCTGGACCAAGAGAAAGGCCTTGAAACTCCACAAAAAATCAGAGGATATCCTTTTCCAGAGATAGAGGCTCGATGGCAGCAATACTGGGAAGATAATCAAACCTTTCGGACTCCAGACGTGGTGGACACCACTAAGCCAAAATATTATGTCCTGGACATGTTTCCATATCCCAGGTTTGTGTCTTGAGCGGCGGCTTCAATGGAGTGCTTAGTTGGTAATTTTTATCACCAGTATTGCCGGTCCACGTAATTTGGGATTATTGTCGCATATGGAATCACTTCAACCTTGTTCATTCAACAAGAGGATGAAGCTGACGATAGTGTGTACGTCTTCAGTGGTGCAGGCTTGCATGTTGGCCACCCCGAAGGTTACACTGCAACTGATATCATGGCCCGCTACAAACGAATGCGAGGTTTTAATGTGTTGCATCCAATGGGCTGGGATGCATTTGGTTTACCAGCTGAGCAATATGCCATCCAGGTTTCTTTTTAGTCCAAAATATTCGGTCATTGTATCTCTCTCGAGATTCGGTAGTTACGCCTTCTTTAATTCTTCCTTTGTCGCTAAGCAGTTCTATTATTGCGAGCTTGTAGGGTAAGGTGTCTGAAGTGCCTGGATCCAATCATGTAGTATATGTGACAAGTTTATTAGCTGTTCATTCTGTGATGAGCTCAGCTCATTCCCGATCGATGAGCTAAGAGCTTTAATGAGGCGCGCAACCTTCACATGTTATAACTGATGATACATATCACAAAATAACCTCTAGTTACCAGACATGTTGAAACTGAATTTGTTTTTGATTCTGTTGCAGACAGGAACTCATCCACGAGAGACGACGCTGAAAAATATCGACCGCTTTCGTTCACAGGTAAAATTTCTCAGGAATTCTCCTAAACTCTTTATGCTGGAAGGTTTAATTGAGAGAGTCCGTTCAGCTGTTGTTTCGCTACGGAGGTCTCTTGGTTCCTTCTCATTTGGTTTTTGTGATTTTGCTCCCAGCTCAAATCACTTGGCTTTTCATATGATTGGCAACGGGAAATATCTACGACTGAGCCGGACTACTACAAATGGACACAGTGGATTTTCTTGCAACTATTTAAGAGGGGCTTGGCATATGAGGTAAACGTTAGCATATTGTTAACTCAATTTTTCTTGAAGTTTTTAGACGCGTCTTTTAACCTTAAACCCTAAACCCTTGGCTTCTCTCTCTCTCTCTCGATGTGTGCGAGTGGCATGTGTGTTCAAGATGTTGGAGAAAGTCTTCTTCAAATACGCGGATGGGCATGTTCTGTAAGGATCGCAATTAATCTTTGTCGTATTTGACAATGTTTTGACTACCTGATTATTTGGGCCAGGCAGAGGTTGCTGTGAATTGGTGCCCAGCACTTGGGACAGTCTTGTCTAACGAGGAAGTTATCGATGGTCTCAGTGAGCGTGGAAGTCACCCTGTCATCCGAAAGGTTCGTTCATAACGATATTGCCGCTCCTTAAATATGGGTCTACTTTGTTAGTTGGATTGAGAAGAATTTACGGGGTTCCTTTTTACGTGTTGCGTTGGTAAGTTGATCAGAACCACATGAAATATTTGGTGTTGTTGAAGTCCGATTTCCGCCTAAATTAATCCCGATTAGTGCTGCACATGCGCTACAGCCAATGCGACAATGGATGCTGAAGATTACTCAGTATGCTGATCGTTTGGTGGAGGATTTAGATGACCTAGATTGGCCAGAAAGCATCAAAGACATGCAACGCAACTGGATTGGCCGTTCTGAAGGTGCTGAACTTGGTTTCCCAATCCTGGATGGTAATGGGACACTGCGGGATCTGAACGTGCGTGTTTATACAACCCGACCTGACACTTTGTGCGGAGCCACGTAAGTATTGAAGCTCCTAACTTGATTTCCTCCTGGACGATAGAAGCAAGTACATTTGCAGGCACAATGCAGGTGATTTTATCAGCAGGAGTCGAATGTAGACATAGTTAACAATGCACATCGTCGTGCCTTGGTTATGGCTTAACATTGTCGATGATAGAATGCAGCATTTTCTAGGAACATATTGAGTGAAGAGGGTCAATCAACCTTGAATTTCTGCAGGTATCTTGTTGTGGGTCCTGAGCATCCGCTGCTACAGCAGATAACATCAGACGATCAAAAGCAGGCAGTAAGTGTGTCGGTCGCTTGTCCCTGTGGTTGGTGTGGTAGATTCTACATGATTGAACTAGTGGATAGTTTGTACCCTGGTCTTGCATGCCTCAGTCCTTTGGTTTAAATTTCCTGCTCCAGACTCCAAATTTATCGCCGTGAGAGAAATTCAATCTGTTGTACATGCGTATTCTAACTATGATCGGTAACTTCATTGTAACCCAATAAGACGTATCGGAACGATATTTAGTATGAGTTACAATAAGTGACATATGACCCTGTAGGTGGCTGAGTACGTTGAAGCAGCCTCCAAGAAGACCGATTTGGAGAGAACGGAACTACAAAAAGTGAAGACAGGTGTTTTCACCGGTACATATGCTAGGAACCCAGCCACGGCGGAAGCCATTCCTATCTGGGTGGCAGACTATGTTTTAGGCGGGTAGGTTCCTCTTGCCTCTCCGTTCGTTACGCTGTGTTTCATCTCTAGTGATGAAGCTTTGCACTTGCTTCCCTAGTCCTGTCTATGTCGTCCTTTTGTTTGCCTTTATGTTGTATTGCTGCTCTTCTACCTCATGAAAGTTGTACTTCTGTAGCCTAATTTTCAAACTCTCTGTCCTGAGTGAGCATCTCAAATATTCATCTAGAACATGGTACCTGAGGTTTTTAAGCGTGCTGCAGCTATGGCACAGGGGCAATCATGGCTGTTCCTGCTCACGATTCCAGAGATTTCGAGTTTGCTAAAGCTTTCGATCTTCCAATGCGTCTTGTTGTCTCCCCTAATGACGGCAAAGAGTGGGATCAGGAGAAAGCTTATTCCGGAGATGGAAAACTTGTCAATTCATCTTATGAAATTGATATCAATGGTTTATCTACAAGTGAAGCAGCATCCAAAGTGATCCATTGGCTTGAGCAAAACGGATTTGGTACGAAGAAGGTGAGAAATTCAGCAGGCTTAGTGTGTTGATTGAGCAACCCATGTCAATAGCCTCCTGAATAAATTTTTCAGTGAAGTCACTCGTATTGTTAAATAACATACTTTAAAACTCCACTTATACAGGTTAACTACAAGCTACGAGACTGGCTATTTGCTAGACAACGATACTGGGGGGAACCCTTCCCATTGCTGTTACTCGAGAACGGTGAAATCAAGGCTGTGCCAGAGAGCGATCTGCCCGTGACTTTACCAGAAATAGACGAGTTTACACCAACTGGAACTGGTGAACCACCTCTAGCTAAAGCTACCTCCTGGGTATTTCCCACAACACGCTTTTCCATTTCTTTTATGTTGCTTCTGTGTTTTCTGGCATTTTTTAAAATTTTTTTCACTTCTACTTAACCATAATCTTGAAGATCATTGCGGTCTTGGATGCTGTATTTTAGGCAAGTCGTGCTAATTATATGAATCTTTTAATTTTCGCAATGGCGATGATGGAAGCACCTACTAGCAATGAATTTTCTTGTTTGTGGTCATTGGAGCTGAACAATATGATGGACGATTGACAGGTGAATACTACCGATCCAGAATCAGGGAAACCAGCTCGTCGTGAAACAAACACTATGCCGCAGTGGGCTGGTTCCTGCTGGTATAATCTTATCCTTCCTCACATATCAGCGTATATCCGAGTAGGATTGTCGGTTTACTTTGTATCAATTGGGATATCAACCTTTTCAAAAATTGAGCTTATTTGATCTTGTTTTCAAATGTAATGGTCTAATATTTGAGCTGTGTAAGTTCTACCTTTGTATGTTTTCAGCATTTTATTCATCACTTTCTCTCATTAAATTGCGCTCAGTGCACAGCGTTATAGGGTCTCAGAATCTTGCTTTTCGTCAAGTCGATGTTTTCTTACGATTTGCGGCACTCAATAATTGGCATTTCTCAAGAGTATCCGAGTTATGAAACTTATTTCAGTTAACCATGTTCAGAGCGTGTAGTGCTCTTTCCCAATTTTTTGCTGATGTACTGGAATTGCTGTAATGCATCTCCTCTTTTAATCAGGTACTATTTGAGATTTATAGATCCCAAAAATCCCAACGCGCTTGTTGATCCAGAGAAGGAGAGGTACAGTGCTTATTCCTGTTGAGTTTAGTAGTTAATACAAAGTTCACACATGCCCAAGTTAGTCTGATTGTTTTTCTCGTAGGTCTCAATGTCGACTAGTCATTTCTGCTCAAATCACGAAACCAACCTGTCAGTGCAGATATTGGGGCCCAGTAGACTTGTACGTGGGAGGCGCTGAGCACTCAGTTCTACATCTTCTTTATGCACGGTTCTGGCACAAGGTAAGGAAATTGCTCAGCAAATTTTCATGCTGTTGCACATCAACTTAGTCTGTATTATAAAAAGCAGTAAGTTGTATAATATGGCCCTCTCGTATTTATTTGTACGGCTTTCAGTCCTTGAAGCCATATTTCAACGAACACCTTGTTCTAAAGATTCAACGCAGGTTTAAACGGATACGAAGTGTCTGCTGGAGTAGTGGATAGGATTTTCAACTTTCAAAGTTTGAACTCTGCCGGATATGAATTTAACCAGTCTAACTGAAACTTGTGGACGTGATGTATCGCTCACTGTTTTTTTCCAAGGCTACTGATAAAGTAATGATGGAGTCTTCTCCATCAGTTTGTAGATTGCCTGTGTCGTTAAAAATAAGTGCTTGATAAACTCATTGTAACTAATGAGACCACATCTTTAACAGGTACTTTATGATATTGGTGTCGTTTCCACCAAAGAGCCGTTTCAGTGTCTGGTGAACCAGGGCATGATTCTAGGCGAGGTATTTGCCTCACTTTATATTTATCCATTCTATGCAAATGTTGCATCTGTTTCGCGCAGTTTTTGTGGGTTTCCAAGACGCTGTAATAGCCAAAGCAGTTATCTTTTGATGACGTAGTTCCTTGAACAATGACATTTATTGTGTCTTACCTCGGATGTATGGTTCACTACTTATTGAACATCATATTTATCACAGGTGGAGTACACAGTTTTTAGAGACACCAGAGATGGAAGTTTTGTTTCGGCTGATATGGTGGACGGAAGTGATTATTACAAAGATGAAAGGATATCAGAAAGTCTTGTAAGTTGGGATCTTTCTGTCTCGTATCTATTCTGTCTTTCAGCAGACACGAAATAATTGAAGAGTCACTTTATTTGAATAAATGTGATTCCACGTTTATTTGTCCATGCATTCCTGCTAACAGGTGTACGCTAGGTGCTCATGCTCTTTAATTATGCTAGTTTCTATTTTCATAAATTTTCCTTTGGAATACATAGGTTTTGAAGTCCTTCCTGGTACTTAGTTTCTTAGCTTTCCGTTACAATTTTGGTGGCGTATAAATTCATGTTTCATTTTCTGCTCAATTAACACTAGTCAAATCCTTCATTACATATGCTATTTTCTGGAAGATGAATCTAGTCGGGAATCATTTAAAAAGTTCAAGGCTTCTATGTAATGAATCTTGAAAAAGTATTAAATTATACATCCATATTGATTCAGGTTGTAAAGAAGGGAGAGTCTTACGTGCTGAAGGATAATCCTAAGATTAGGGTAAGCTCCAGGGCACACAAAATGAGTAAGAGTCGAGGGAATGTCATCAATCCTGATGATATTGTAAGTGAGTATGGTGCGGATTCACTGCGACTCTACGAGATGTTCATGGGTCCGTTGAGGTGTTATTCTCTATCCTTCATAGCTCAAAATTTCTGTCTCCAACTTCTTCTTCAGTTTGGTCTCCTTTCTCATGTATTACCTCTTTGAATTTTTGGATATTCCCGACGTAGATCTTCTTGACTCAAAAATAGTTCACAGCATTGATTTTAGTTCTTATTATCATGCGTGTTGTGAAATAGTATCTAAATATTGAAACCTTCCTCGTCCTTGGACACTATATCACCTCATCTTGTGATGTAACTCGCCTTTTCCTTCACATTCTTCATTAGGGATGTCAAAATATGGAGCACAAACGGCGTTGAAGGAGTGCACAGGTTTTTGGGACGTGCATGGAGGCTTGTGGTTGGGTCGGCCCTGCCTGGAGGAGGTTACCCAGAGCACACTTTGGCAACTGACGGTGCTCCCTCCAAGGAGCAGCTTCGGGCTCTACATCAGTGTATCAGCAAGGTCAGTGTTTGTACGGGTGTTGAGCAAAAGATGTTGGTAATACACCCTCGCTGGTACTTCCGTGCAATGACTTCCACAATCAGTGATTGTTCTACTCTGAGAGAAGTTTTGGACGAAACTTGCAGGTAACAGAGGAGATCGATAACATGCGATTCAACACCGCAATAGCTGCGATGATGGAGTTCATCAATGTTGCAAACAAGGTGCGCAAGCTGTGTTTGGGTGGACATGTGTTGAGGTACTCTGAAATAGTGAAATGTAGACATAGGCGCTGCAATTGACACTCCCACAGATATGTATGGACATGGATGTTTCTAATGAAAAAAAGATGTAAACTGTTGTGTTGTGTTGTGCAGTGGACTGACCGACCAAAGGAAGTGCTGGAACCGTTTGTGCTATTGCTGTCACCGTTAGCCCCACATATAGCGGAAGAGCTGTGGTGTAGGTTAGGTCACTCGCAGAGCCTGGCCTACGAACGCTGGCCCGAGGTAAACGTTCTGTGGCTCTGCTCCTAACGCTCGCGTACTCAAAGACCTTGGAAACGCGACGTTTTCCTCATAAACAACTTGTTAATGTCACTGTCAACGCTTTTGCAATCGAGGGTTTCGATGCCATGTCAGCACGGAAACATTTGTCCTGAATGGATTCCTTCTGAGCAAGTATTTGTGGGATGGGAAAATCATATGACATCTGGTTTTGCTATTTGCAGGCGAACCCGGAGTATTTGAGAGAGGATACCATGACGCTGCCTGTGCAGTTCAATGGGAAAACAAGAGGCACTATCCAGGTTCCGGTTGGAATCGATCAAGCTGCTGCCTTGGCAGCTGTTACCGAAGATGGTAACTTCACAAAATTCCTTGAAGGCAAAGAAATCAAGAAGACGATTTATGTCCCGGGAAGGATACTGAATCTGATCGTGAAATGAGAGTGTAGGAAATAACGTTAAGCTAAGAGTAAATCAGAGTTGCAGAATATGTAGGACAATTGCATTGTATTGCATAGATTTTTTCTGATGTCATGTATTGAAGACATCCTCAGTGGTATTGTATTTATATTTTTATGTCTGCAAGGGCTCAGTTAATGAATGCAAATTACCAGGTACCGCATTTTTACGTGGCATTCCATGGATATCACATTTTGCTCATTGTTGTATTTTGAAAATAGAAGTTTTTATAAAGAGCAAAGCATTTAGCTCCTGCTCTAAACTCATATTTTCTGGAGTTGAAAGTTACAAATTACATTTATGAGACGGATGATTGCTGGCCACTTGGCGTATGATTGGAGGAGCATCGGATCGAACTGACGTCATTGAAAGCATTAACTGAAAAATACTGACCAAAGTCTAAGTTGTTCCAATGTCGAAATCAGCATGCAGCTTCACCTGCACACGGCATTGCAGCTCCACGTTCCGGGAACCCAAGTTTTGCATGCAACTGTGGCCCTGTGGACGACAGTGGTGGAGTACGTGTTGGAAAACATGGTAAAAAGTACAGAAATTTGGATCAATTGTTAAGCAGTGCATCGGCTAGTAGTTTATCACCTTTATTTGTTAGTTTATTTATCTTCAAATCAAGTTGATTGCATTTAATGGAAGCACATACTTATCTTGTGACTTATCTATGAAAATAAATTTTAAAATACTATAGTCAAATTTTAAAATACTATAGTCAAACCTAAATAAAGGTTCCCTTGATATAAGTTGTTTCACTCTATAAGTTAATATTTTTGTATTCTAAAAAATCATAAGGCTAATAGTTAAGTTGTTAATAGTTAGCTTTCTTTAACTTGATAATGGTCAAATTCTCTATTTACTAATCAAATATATTCAATTTTGTTCAAGTAAACAGATAACTCAAGTGGGCATTCTAATCAATATAAGTGGAAAACTTTTGTTTAGTGTGAGTGGCAATAGTGGAAGTCTTTTTCACCAACTTGCAACTACTAGATATGGAGACTCTCTTGTCATTGCAAGTGAGATTACAATGCACTTTTGCAAAATTGAACAAAGAACTTGAAGTCCCCACGCTATGATCTAATAGATTCAACACTATGGAGACCCTTGTATTTGATTGATTATATATAAGGATGAACTTGGCAAATTGCATTGCTTTTATTTCAAGTAAATCAATACTTTAAATTATACATCTTTATTTATATAATTTAGTATTTAAGTTTTTTTTTGCATAAATTTTATTGTGGATACATGACATCTTGACTAAGAAAACCATTGCAAGTCTAAAATTACAAAATATTGCCAATTAGAGTTGTATTTTAGTAAATATAAGCAGCAAAAATTCAAAACAATGTTGATTTTTATTTTTTTGGTGCTCATATTTACCAAAACACAATATTGATTGTTGTCAAGGACATGAATCCTTAAAGAACTAAAATGTCAATACACTCTTGTCACTCAAAAAGACTAAAAAATCTCTCAAAGATGTATAATATTAAATTAGAATGACTATTGCCAAAGATAAGAAGACTAGAAAGTCTTAAAACAAGATTAAAGACTAGAAAGGTGTTGATAAGAGTGAAGAAGACTTCACTCTTGCTTCCATATATACTTTTAACTAAGAGCTACATGGCAATATCTTATAAGACTTCCAAAACAGCTTGACTTTGCAAGACACATATCTTAACTTGCAAGACAAGTTTTCTATATGTGTGCCACATAATTAGCTTATTTTGCAAGTTATTAACATGTGGTTAACTTATTGACAAAGTTTTGTATGGAGATTATGGATTTCTTACAAAAATCCATCTTTATACCATAATTTTGCCATAGCTCCATATTTCCATCTTTAATATGTATATAAAATCTTGGCTCCCAAAACTCCCTTTACTTTGTATAAAATACCAAAATTATAGCAAAACTCTTTCAAATTATTTTTCTCCCACAAAAGAATTTTTTTCCCAAATTTTAAAAATTTATATCTCTTGATCTAAATATTTTATTAATTTTTTTAATTTTTAGATAATGTAGAATTTATCTTTAAGTTTTACTACAAAAATAATGAATTATAAATCTAGTATAGATCGTCTGACATCTTAGAAACCCTAGTAGATACTTTAAACCCTAATTTATAAGCATCTAAACACTATTTTCTCCATATCTCAAAAATACAAACTCCAAATACTGCAAAATTTGTATATAAAGTTTAATAACATGATAACACACATTCTTGGAAATTTTTAGCCAAAATCTTTTCAAATTGCTCAAGATATAGTTCAAAAAACAACCACTAGTAAATTAGGTCACTTATTGCCTTTAGATTGCAAGCACTCGCTACAACTTCCTATAACTCCTTCATTTCAACTTATAATTTATTAAGAAGTATGTGAAAAGTATAGCCGAAAAAATGTTCTTTCAAATCCTAGTTGTTGATCCTTCATTGCTTTCCGTAAGCATGCGTAATGTCCAAAAGAGTGATAGTAGGTATAAAACCAATACCTTAACTTTGAGTGCCTATATCCCTTTCATAAAAACTCCTAAGCATCCAAAATTTGAACCAAAACTATATCCAAAATCCTAAACTCTCTGATCCTACTCTTCTAAGTTTGGATGATCTTAAAAGAATAATCCTATTTCCTAATAAGGCCTTGAGAAACCTCCTTAAAGTCCATTGGGCATGCCTTTTGGCCAATAGCAATAGATATTTTTATCATGCATCTCCATTCATCCATATAGATGCCTTAATTATTCTTTTTTCTTTCAAAATCCTTCTCCAATCTTTTTTTTAATAAGATTTATATAATATATGTCCTAAACACCAAATAAAAGAAACAAATCAAGATTTCAAGGATCATCAATGTCTAATAAGGGTGGTTCTAAATATATAAAACTATTATCAATATAAAATCAACTTCAACAATAGTTCTTTTAAACTAACCACTTCAAAATAATAATCTAATCATATTTTGTGACTAATTAAAATCTAATAATATAGCTCTTATTACATTATATAATAAATTATATATTAAATATTTATATTTATTATTTTCATGTAATAGCTAAACTACAATATGAGACCATGACATTATCTTCCCTTCTAAGGACAAATTCCACAAAGAGCGGTCATCATATGTTGAAAAAATCTAAAATGCAACAAATTGTGTTTACCACATATTTTGATCTTTGTTCTCTTCAAAGATGATTGATAGGTCTTCTCAATCATTAATAGTATCCTATACTATGACAAAAAGATTACCTTGTTATTTGATTGTTATTAAGGTCTTTGTAACTTCCTTCAAATAAAACATTTGGAATACCATTAAGAGTCATTCCTACCTCTAATAAAATCATCAAATATTAAGAGCCTCTTTCAAGGTCATGATATCAAATACATTGTATCTCACAATTTATTTAAAAGATATGTCGTACTTGAGAATCTTGATGTCAATTATATCGACTTGAAGCTTGTAATAATTACAATGTCTCATCTAATAAATCAGAAAGTAATAACTTTTGAATTGAATTTGTTGGTTATTGGTTTTCAATCTCCTTAGTATCACAAATACACAAAAATTACAAAAAAGAGTAGACAATAGAATGTTATTTTCTCTAGATCTTGTTTCTTTTATAGCAAATATTTACTATTCTTCATCTTAATTTTGATGGATGTTACTGATAAAAAGCCTCAATAATCTTTATTAAATTTGTAAGATTCTTTGCTTATTTTTATGTACATTTATTAATATTATATCCATATCAATGAACAAGATACTATAATTTATTTTGGATTTACCTAAATCTAAGACTTCTTCTACCTCAAACTCTTGCTTATTATCAACTTTTATAGAAAGAGGTGGTGAAATAAGACCAATCTATTTCAAGTATCCAAGACCGCTCTAATCCACCTTAATATAAAACCTCATCATAAGGTAGGACAAACTGGACTGGAATAAAACTGAACAAAATTAAACTAAATAGGACATAGAAGACAAAACTAATCAAATGAAAATAGGACAAAATAAAACTAAACAGAAAGATGGAAATCCAAACTTTATTAAGAGAGAATGTTCAAAGCCATAATTGAGCAAATGCCCCAAAAGGCCTTGGCTAGTCCTATTTATACTTTGTTTTACAACCCTGGACTTTCTAAAATGTTCCTAAGTAGTGGATTCCACTTAGATAACCACCTTAAACTCCTTTTAGAATGTTTTATGATAGGTCCTACCTAATTAACCATCCTAAGCCTTTTCTAGAAGGTTCTATGGTAGATCCTACCTAAATAACCATCTTAAACTCTTTCTAGAATGTTCTATGGTGGATCCTACTAGGTTCACTAACCTAACTTCAATTCTAAAAACTTCCATTGTTCTAACTATTTATCCTTATATAAATATCTTATCTATATCCTGTTATAGTTAATTCTCTTATACTAATAAGGAATGTCCTTATTTTTCTTTTGATGGTATCTCCAAATTTTCTCTTCGTAATATGTGAGGTTTTGCTGAAGTTTCCACATTGCATTGTAAATGGGATAACTTTTCCAAAAGACTTTGTACTAAAGTTATGGACATTCACTGCCACGGCAAAGGTAGCAATGCTCCAAAATGTTGTCCACTTCATATTCTTATTAGTCATCAACAACAAATGGTAGTAGTGGTGGTTGATATTGATCCGAAAAGTGTTTTGGCTCAATATGAAATTCCTTTAGTTGCAAAACATGGAAGACCAGATGGATCGGTGTTGTATAGCATGATTTGCTATGTGAAAACACATTGGGTATCTAGCTGTAGAGAGTTTAGCTTAAACCTTTATATGAATCTTGTCTTAGCTTCCAAAAAACTCCTTTAATTTGCATAAAACTCAAAATATAACAAAATCCCTTCAAAACATATTTTTTCCGCAAAGGGTTTTTTCATCTTGAACTTTAAAAATTCATAACTCTTGATCTAATTGTTCAATTTGTCTTAATTTTATAGGATAAGTAAAATTCACCCTTAAGTTTTACCTCAAAAAAAACCAATTGCAAATTCACTTCCAATCTTTTGGTATCTAAGAAATCCTAGTAGATGCTCTAAATCCTAATTTACAAGCACATGAGCACTATTTTCTTAATATCTTAAGAATCCAATATTCAAATGTCATCAAACTTATGTAAAAAATTTACTAA